TGCATATTTACTAAACTAAATAATAGTATTATTAATTGGAGGTACACTGAATACGTGATATTCATTATTAATAATATTATATTGTACATGTTGTCGTAAAACAGGTTAATTTTGCACATCCGGATTTATACCTATTGTGTTCATGTGCACAAGAGAACGTCATTGTTCTTCTCCATTTCGGGATACAATACTTTCACATCTTGATTTTAGCCAGTATTTTGTGTGTGTTCATAGTATTGTAATGCATTCGGGACTTCAATTCTCACATTAGCCGTGCTAATAAAAAATCGTGGATCCTTAGTATGAAGCCATGAACTCATTTGTTATTTACTCTAGATGCTCAATCATAAGGTTGCAATAGTTACGTTAGTTATGTTGTAATACTATGAGGTTACCCGTAATACGAGGATACCTCAAAGTATGCACGAAGACAGTATAGCTGAAGTATCGACCGACGCGCAGCGTATCCTGGTAATAACCTTATTATTATTATACATATTTTCCTTCCAAGGATACACCATGGGAATGCCGAAATCCAAAATGTTTAGAACAGAATCAGCGAACTTCTTTGTGTCGGGTCAAACTCTGGTGACAGCCATGTTGTGTTTTATTATTAGAGGACGTTTAAGCGCGTAATCATTCCATATTTGGAATTCGCATTTCCTAATATGGTAGGATGAAAATACCCCGTGAAATACCGCCAAATTACGACAAGCTGTAACTTATGGCGCTACGGTGACAGATGTATAATTATAATTATTTATTATAAGTAATAGAAATGTGTTATGTGGGCGCTAATGATGTATGTTATATTTGCCCAATGCAAAGACAATAAAATGTGACTAACATTTCATTGTTTCTAGATTTATGCAAGCAAATGATAAACTACTTAAATAATAATGACAAACTAAAATGTAACTGCCCTGAGCCATGCAGGTAAATAAAAGCCATGTTATGTTACTGCTTATTCAATATACGCACCTTGATATGTAAAAAAAAAATGACAATAGAATAAAAAAAACATGACAAACAAATATATAGTAGTTTAATTAATTGTTGCCATTACTTTTGCAGTCGATACAGCTACAGCATGACTACGTCTCTAGCGGTCTGGCCATCAGATGATTACTCTGTGAGTAAAGTAGTCCTTTCAGATTATAATTAGACGCACACATGAATGGTTAGTTTAATATGAATTCAGCAAAACGAAGGAAAGCTACACGTCGTGATTTTTGCAAAGGATGAAGAGTTATGTTTACTTTTATAAATGTGTTCTCAGTGAATTTAAGTTTATACCCAGCATAAAATGTACTTAAAGAGGTACAGAAATGTTTTTTGATTATTGGTGTTCCCATACATAAATAAAAAAAGAAACTACTTGTCTATTCCCAATAAATGAAAGCGATATCTGTGCAACATATCCGTCACAGTTCAAGCACACATCATTCATACTATGCATTCATATAATGTTTAATTCATTAGTGTGCGAATATTGTTCACATATATTTTATATTCTTTCCAGTGCAAACACTGGCATCAATAACTATTTATCGTTATTTGTAATAAAAGATGGCATTACTGGCAACGATTTTTGATTTTAAATACATTATTTATCTGTTTTCTCAATAGAATCGTCTGTTACATTTGTTACATGTAATGAATAACAAAACCAAGTCTATTAATACATCGACTCTAAGGTAATATGATTGCATGATATCATACTTATTTTAACAAAACATGTTATTGGATCTTGCCAATGATGCAATGCATTGTACTAGTAACACATATATTCCTGTAGCTCTTTATTTGTATTTGCCCAACAGGGGAAACATCGCCCTTGTCCACGTGTACATTGACAGTCTACATATTGAAACAGTATCTCAAGAAAAAGCATATGATGTAAGTAATGTGTGTATGAAATCTCATATGTTCTAATATAAATACTAGAGTGCATGTATTATATTTAAATACATTATTAGATTCTTGCTGTATTTGCACTTAATAATAATAGTATATTACCATGTTAATTGTTTAGGTGATTGATCTGTTCGCTGACATTGGTGGCGCCCTTGGACTATGGATTGGAATGTCAGCTGTAACACTGTTTGAAGTAATTGAACTAATTTTAAGCATCCTAACAATGTACTTAAATTAACTTTGAAAGTCAAGACCTGACCGCCCTTATACGTTGTTACAAAAGTAGCACATTGTTCATTGTTAATGTCCTGTATTTGTCATGTTTAATAAAAAAATGTTTTCAATATTTTACTTTATACTCTCAAAAACTACCACTATGTGTAATGATTTGAAAATCATGCGTTCTGTACTTTTACGATTACGATCAAGGAGGTCAAATTATCTTTGCTGATCATTCCATGTACTCTGATCTGATCAACTAAATACGAGTCGAATCGCTTGATCCTATGTGATATTGTATTGACCAAACTGCATATAACAATGTATTGAAAATATTGTGTTGGTGGTTCAACGAGCATGTAACATAATTTATATATATTAATCATGTGTATGTAGAATGTATTATAGCTGCATAGTTACGTTACAGTGTCAGTGATGTGTGGTGATTAGTTCTCAGCAGTGCAGTATAATCTACCTGCTTTATTGGATAATATTATGTGATTTGATGGCTAATATTTGTGTAGTCCACATGTGAAGCATATTTGGACCGTCTGGTTTTGAACTATCTGATTGATAAGTTAAGTTTTAGTAACTTTTGTGATTTTGGTGGCGACAGACTAACATCATCCTTTGTGTTTGCTAGTTATATGCAAGTGTATTTGCAGTACGTAACAGTGTGCCACTGTAGTAAACACTTAGTTCAATATTTTGATTGTCATAACATGTTTTATGAATACCAATATGGTTTTGAGAAAAAATGCAGTAAAACGATTTAGCCTGACCCAATATCCACTTTACGAAATTGACCAGGGAAATTTTACTGTTCGACTCTTCATAGACTTCTCTGAAGCATTTGATAACACCAATCACAATATCTTACTTGCTAAACCTAACCATTATGGTGTTTGTTGGCATCAACAACATTGAATCAATATCAATATTTGCCAATATTGAGTCCCACTGGGTTCCATATTAGATTCCACGGGATTCCTTATTAGGACCGACTTTTTTTATATACATCAATGATATCTACACATCTTCAGAAATTTGTAATTTTAGGCTGTATGTAAACGACTCGAATTTAGTTTACACAATTAAAAATACCAATAATCTCAAGTTACACTCCCTAAATGGTAAACTGACCGAAGTTACAGAGTGGTGCGAGGATAACACACTGACTATAAACGCAGCCAAAACCTGGAGTGATTTCCTTGAATGACACGACAGTTCACGACGTGGATAGTGGGTCATTCATTGGAATCACTATAGATAACAAATTATTATGGAAAAGCCACATCT